ATCAAATTTCCTTTCAGACATAATTGTTCAAGCAATTTTATCCCTGATCTGTATTTTTTTCCTCACTCATAAGATGGCCTTTTTCATTTGCTTCCCTGTTAAAAGGAAAAAAAAAAAAGCAAGTACTATACATGGTTGTCCTGTAATTATTTGATAAGTTCTTTCCATGCTAAAACTGTAAACTAAAACACAAACCTAATAAGTAGAATTGGCATAATTTAGAATGCTGTAAACACAGATCACACTTTAATCAAAAAGAGGTGCCCACATAGGTGTTTACCAACCTGATCCATATGGCAGGAAAAAAAATCTGTAAGAAGATACAGTTTATCAAATCAAGCTCCCTAAATCCTAGCTAGCAAATTCAGCATACCTCATAAACAGGGAATTACCCTTACAGATGTTTGCCTATGAAATTATCAACTATGGAAGGCACTTTGCTAGGAAACACAATCTGTTCAGCATCAAATCTGAGAGAAGCACTCTATCTGCATTTCTGACTCTAGAAAGAATTTAATTGATAGTTTGTTGATATTTTTAAGTAAATTCTTGCTAGGAATAAATAAATCATATTACTGCAGAACAAATCATCACTGAACATCCATCCTTAGCTAGTAGCATTTAGAGCATGCTGTTCTCCTTGGCTTAACTCTTCAAGAAATGATTACTCCAGACCCATAAAACCCCGTGGAGCTCAGAAAAGATGCTGCTGCTGGTGCCCATATTATTACATATGAGCAGCCTAGGAATCCCTCATATGATAGATGAATTGTAACTGCAAAACACCATCACCCGGGCCAGAGTTGTTATTATTTTTCATTTCTGTTTGCACTCGAGGGTAGCCTGACTCTAAAGAGCAAATGGCATGCTGACGGAAGCAAGTACACAAGCTGAGCTGCACTGCACATATTGCTGCCTTTAACTTTCTGATTTGTAAAATTTATAATAAGCAATAATATGCTTGACAAGTATAAAGACATGAAAATATACAGCTTGGTTTGTGGGAGAAGGTCAGCTTGGTGGGAAGGTGATGTGGACTGTTAAATTCTGGTTTGTTTGAAAAACTACTTGAAACTATTTTGGCATAATTACATTTGTATGAAGTGAGGGAACAAGAGGAGTGGAATTGATTAATTACTGGTTGATGCCAGTATGATATTAATCATAGAATAGCCTGTTAAATAAGGAGGGATGTAAGTTAAGTCAACAGGACTAGAAGGAGTGACTAGTATGGTTGTCAGAGACCTGAAGATTAGGCCAGCAAGTGGTGTGGTGGTTAAGGCACTGGATTCCACAGGGCCAACTACTTAGTTCGAGTCCTGAATCTGGCAACCTGAAAAACATGCTGGGTGCCTCTGTGTGCATACCCAAATCCAGGAGGAGAAGTGATTGTGGTGTGGCCATTTCCTCTGAGGAAGAGGGAGGTGATTCTCACTTCTCTCTCTCTGTCTCCCTCTGATGAGCACACAGTCCCCATGGCAAAAATTCTAAAACAAAACAAAATACCAGCGGATATGTGATGGGAGCACCTCTCTGGATTTTGATCTTTCCCATTCTGCAAGGTATGACTAATAATACAATCACTGATGGTTGCTGTGAAGATTCAAAGACATCATGAGCTTAAAGACTGTGTGTGGCAAATAGTATTGGGTTGTTGAGAAAGTCATGATGCCTTTTTGCATAGAAAAACAGAGAAAAATACATCATGACTTTCCCAATGACCTAATAGATGACATATTACTATTATTTCTCTTATTGCTAATCATACGTTCACTATTGTTTTGAGTGTTCTTTGAAATAAGATGTGGTAACCTTAAAGAATGGCAAGAAGAAAGAATGAATTCCTAATTTCTGCACAAATTATGTTGGTTTGCTGGTATTTTTAAAGTTTTTAGAAATAAGTCAGATACTGTCTGAAGCAATGTTTTTAATCCAGAGATTCTCACTGCAGGCTTGCAATAGGGTGGTTGACAGCTGGGTGTAGGGCATAGACCATTAGATTTAAAAAATGAAGACCAGGTTCTATTTTATTAGCCCTACTCTTGGTTGCTGGCCATTTACCTTTCTGAACCTTGGTTTCCCAAAATAAGAAAGTACTAACCTATTTTCTCTGATCAAAATACAATGATGAGGTTTAAGTGCCTTGAAACGCAGCCA